CAAGGAAGGTCTTGATGGCTACACCAAGAAATTTGTTCTCTGGTTTTTAAAATGGGGATTAGTTTTGTTTGTTTTACGTTAGGTGAGAAAATTTACAGAGCAAACTGGTTTTGCATTCAGTAGTTCATGCAGGTTTTGTTTTATAGTATTAATTACGATCCTCACATTGAAACAGCACTATCCCACTTTCTCCCTGTGATTCTCCTTTCTATTAATCCTTCTGTCCTGTCCTTCACTGCCTCCTAAGCTTTATCCCTGGGCAAATACTGCCCTTTGATCTTGTATGATTACATTGTTCTAAGAAGTGAGTATGTCACTACCCTAGTGTTATTGTTCACCTTATAAGCTTGTCTGTTGTTTGGCTGAAAGTTGGGTTTAGCCTCAGAGGGTTACTAAGAGCTATAATCTTGGAAATGAGTAAGTAAAATAAACAGAAAACTAGTGCCTTTGAGTTGTGGTGTTGGTGAAGAGTATTGAGGATATCATGGACTACCAAAAGAACAAACAAATCTGTCTTGAAAGCAGCTCAGGGGTGGTGAAACTTTGTCTCCTAAATGTGGGTCAGACCTTGGAAAAAGACATCATGCTGGGAGAGGTAGAAGGTCATCGAAAAAGAGGAAGACCTTTAATGAGATGAATTGACAATAGGCTTGAGGGTGGCAGAGATTGTGGTAATGGTGCAGGATAGGGCAAGGTTCTGATCTGTTGATCATAGGGTCACTTTGAGTCATGGTCAACATGACTGCATCTGACAGCACCACCACAGTCTTGGAGGTTCCATTAGTCTCTGTTAGACCTGGCCATTTTTGTGATTTTGTTCTACATTTTTCTCCTGCTCTGTCCAGGAGCCTCTGCTGCAATCCCTTTTAAAGTGGTCAGCAGTGGTAACGGTAAACCATTCTGTTCTTTTGATCTCAGACTAGTGCAGGTTGAGGCACATGTGGCCTGTTAGTCCTTTGAACTAATTTTTTTTTCTCTCTATCCTTTTTTTGGACTAATTTTCCTATGTGTCTTTCATTTTCTTCACTCTTTTTTGATCCCAGTCTGGGAAAGACCAATAGTTGCACCTCAAGTGGCCGCTCAAGTATTTAAGACCCTCGTCACTAATTATCAAAGTAGGCTGTGTTGGTTTGCTGTTGTTCAGTGCCATACAGTTGACTGTGACTCATAGTGACCCTATGAACAACAAGTGAACCTTGCGCTGTCCTGGTCTATCCTCGCCATTTCTCCCTTGCTCAAGCCCATTGAGGAAGTCACTGTGTCAGTCAGTCCATCTCGTTCACCTTCTACGTTTCCCAGCATGATGTCCCTCTCCAAGTAGGATCTAGAACATTGTTTTTGTAGATGATGCCAATTGACTTTGTTGTCCCCTAAGGCCCTATGATGAGGAACTCCTTCCCTCAGGGTGTTTGGTTATGATTAAGAATTTTGCATAGCTTTGCTGCCCGTTGGTGCTGCCATATACATGGATCTTTGTGGAGCACATATATACACACACGTGCATGCAGATCTGACTCCTAGCTGACACACCTCTCTGTGGCCATGAATACTGTCCCTTTCACCTCTCCATCTCCGTTCATCGTGCCTGTCTGATTATGTATTCACTTGGAGATTAATGCTTGTTATTACCGATAGTGTAGGATTATGCATGTAATAATGTTTACCTTTGGTGTCTGCATCTTCCCTTTCTGTAGTGATACTGTTCTCATCATCCCCGTATTGTATATTGCCTTTACCCACCTTAGTATATATCTATTATCTGTTGTTGTGCACCATTTAATTGGTGCCGACTTACAGTTGATGCTCCAGTAGGTTTTCAGAGGCAGTAAATCACATGGGAGGAGACTGCTCATCTTTCTACTGTGGAGCATTTGGTGGGCTCAAACCACATGCTTTTGGGTTGATAGTGCAACTTACCACGAGGCCACCAGAGCTCCCTAGCAATTTTCTAGTTACTAATTTTCACTCTGTTCTTCTGCCTTTCCCATCCCTGATAACCATCAAAGAATATTTTTCCTATGTGTAAACTTTTCCTTAGCTTTGAAGAAAAATGAAAGCTCGTTGCCGTCAAGTTGGAACTGACTCATAGCTGATCCTCTGAGTGAGTTCAGAGGCTGTAAAATGGCATGGAATGAGATTGCCCAGCTTTCTCCCATAAGCCACTGGTGGTGTCGAACTTCCAGAGAGGTGCCACTCCCTATGAACTATGCCACCAGAGCACAGTAATAGGGAACTTGTAGAATGTTTGTCCTTTTCGTGACTGATTTCATTCTGCAAAAGTTTCATCCATGTACCACAAAATTTTCATTATTCATTAGTCTTGTACTGTAGTTTATTTGCTTATCTGCTGATGGGCACTTGCCATTGTAAATAATGCTGCCATGAACATGGACATGTATGTATCTGTTAATGTCTCAGCTCTTAATTTCTTCAGGATATATATGTAGAAATGAGATGGCTAAATTAAATGGTATTTCTACTTCCACCTTGTTAACCAAACATCAAATTGTTTTCCATGGTATTTGTATCCTTTTACATTCCCACCAGCAGGGTGTAAGAGTTCAGTCTCCCCACACCCTTGCCAGCATTTATTTCTGCCATAATGAATTTTGTCATTGTTGCAGGAGTGAGATGTATCTCATTGTTGCTTTGACTTGCATCTCCAGCGATAACTGCTAATTGCTTCAGCATTTTCTCTTTGTACATATATTGGTCATCTGAATATCTTCCTGAGTTAAATATCTTTTGCCCATTTTTAAAATTGGATTGTTGGTCTTTTTGTTGAGGTGTTAGAATTTTCTATAAATTTTGAGATGAGTCCCTTGTTGGATATACTTTTATCAAACCAAGAAATTTGGATCAAGGAAGGATGAGGGATTCATAGAATGTTCTGCTTCCAAAGAGGAGTGACACAGATGAGTTTTACTTCAGAAATGGTTTCTCTTCCTGGCCGTGTCCTAAATTAGCTCTCGCAAACACCCAGGTCAGCTCAGTGTCCAAGATAAGCAGGGCAGAGGGCCCCTAGTCTGTGCCATAGGGGGACGGGTGGGAAATGGCTATAGCCACAGAGACTTTGTAGTGCAGGGTGGGCTCCCGGGTGGCAGCAGCTCCAGTGGTTCCTCCATGTTTCCGTGAGGGCAATGAGGCTTATATTAATGAGAGGTAATTATGAGCACCCGATGGGCCTAAGTATAGCTCAGAGACAAAGGCGGTGCAAGGCAGCCAGCTGCTTTCCGCTGCAGACCAAGGGCTGCCTATTTTAAGCCTTCCCCAAGGTGAGACTCCTGCCGCCCAGGGTGCTGAGGGATGGTGCTCACCACGCTCAGAGGAAGTCATTGTGCCCAGACCCTCAGCCCATCCTCACTCAGACTCCTAGATCAAGAAAAAGACCAGTGCAAGGTTATAGTAAGTAAATATAGGAAGGATTTTAATTCAGTTCCAGCTCACATACTTTTTACTCTGCTAGGTAACACCCCTGAACCAAAAGCCTTGGCCTGCCCCCAAGAAGTCTAGTATAGTGAGAGGTTGGGAGTCGGGCCCATGTCTGTCAAGCCCTGAGTTCCAGAGGCCTCCTATAGGTCATCACAGTTATCCTCATCATAATCCTGAAAAGTATGGAACACTGTTATAGAAGGGGAAACAGAGACCCAAGAAGATGAACTAAATCACCAGAGATCCCCCAGTAAGGAGAGACAGAAGCAGAGCCCAGTTCCACCCTGTCTCAAGTCTGCTCACCTGTGAGACAGACGCTGAGATTCACACACAGCTGTTCACAGGGGAATCCGACAGAAGAGAGGTGAAGGGGGCAGGTCGGGCAGAGGGTGGACTGCAACTGCAGTGTCGTCACAACAGAGGCTTCAGCTGATCCCGTGGACAGCTCTGGGATGGCCCATTAGGGCTGTGAATGGGACCAAAGGGCCAGGCCTTTGTACCCCCAAATTAACTGGTTATTGGACACGGGTTGTCCCCCAGTGAAGTAGCATGACCTTGGCTGAATGAATGAGACAGTCTGTTGGCTGGGAGCAGTTGCTGGGCAGGGCTCAGCTGACCTGCTAATATTCCTGGCCACCGAAGGCTTGAGAACCTTGGAACTCCAGGAGGCATCTGGGCATCCTAACAGCATCCATACCCTAATACCATGTCCAAATGCATGTCTCACTTCAGCCATTCAAAGGATACAGTTCAGCAGTCTTTAGTACGTACAACCATCACCGGCATCTAGTTCCTGAACATTTTCATCTTTCCAACAGGAAGCGCCCTTCCCATGAAGCAGTCACTTGCCCCGCTCCTCTTCCCCATCCACTGGTAACAGCTAATCAGCTTCCCCCACCCCACATATGAATTTGCCTATTCTGGACATCTTATACCCATGAAATCATACAGTATGTGACCTCTTGTGTCTACTTCCAATTATCAAAGTGTTTGGGGGTTCACCCATGTAACAGTGCTTCATTTCTAACTGTCCAACGATACTCATTTATTCCACATCTTGTTCATGTGTTCATTCAGGACTGGGCATTTGAGTTGTTTGCACATCCTGACAGTTGTGCCAGAGATGCTGTGAACATTGATGTTCGTGTTAGAGTAGCTAATGGGGGCACATGGGGAGAGCATGGATGTGTAGACTGGGGTCCCTGGTGCCTGAGGGACAGAGTCAAAGAAGGAAGGTGACAGTTCTCCCCCACCCACTCACATTCCAACATGGAATTCAGAGGAGACCAAGAATTCTGACCTGGTTTTCCAAGCAACTGTGAAGATATATTCATCAAGGTAGGAGAGTAGAACATATTTTAAGTTTGCCCACTTGAGTTCCCATTCTTAAATATCTGCCCGTGTAGAAATTTTGTCCTGGGCCCCACAGTGTTGGGAAAGACCTCAGGCTGGCCACTCCGCTCATCTCCACTTCTTCCACTTCTGAGATCCGTGGGGTTTGGGTGACCTTCCAGACCCCTGTCCCTTCCCAGTCCAGCTGTCTGACCTGTCTTATCTTCTCTCCCCAGGATAGCTGCTGCCCGGGAGAGGTGACCCGGGCGCCCTGCTAGGGCGACGGCCCCTGCCCCTCGGGCCGGGATCATGAAAGGCCTCGGAGACAGCCGCCCTCGCCACCTCTCCGACAGCCTGGACCCACCACATGAGCCCCTGTTTGCAGGGCCTGACCGTAACCCCTACCTGCTCTCGCCCACAGAGGCCTTTGCCCGCGAGCCTCGCTTCCCTGGACAGAACACGCTGCCAGGGGATGGCCTTTTCCCACTCAACAACCAGCTGCCACCACCCAGCAGCACCTTCCCTCGCATCCACTACAACTCCCACTTTGAGGTGCCAGAGGAGAGCCCCTTCCCTAGCCACGCCCAGGCCACCAAGATCAACCGGCTGCCTGCCAACCTCTTGGACCAGTTTGAGAAGCAGCTGCCCATTCACCGTGATGGCTTCAGCACCCTCCAGTTCCCACGCGGCGAGCCCAAGGCTCGTGGTGAGAGTCCCGGCCGCATCCGCCACTTGGTCCACTCGGTCCAGCGGCTCTTCTTCACCAAGGCACCCTCACTGGAGGGTACAGCAGGAAAGATTGGTGGCAATGGCAATAAGAAAGGTGGCCTGGAGGACGGCAAGGGCCGGAGGGCTAAAAGCAAGGATCGGGCCAAGGCCGGGGAGCCCAAACGGCGGAGCCGCTCCAATATCTCAGGCTGGTGGAGCTCTGATGACAACTTGGATGGTGAAGGTGGCGCCTTCCGGAGCAGTGGTCCAGCCTCCGGCCTGATGACCCTTGGCCGCCAGCCAGAACGCACCCAGCCCCGCTACTTCATGCACGCCTACAACACCATCAGCGGGCATATGCTTAAAGCCACCAAGAACACCACCACCGAGCTGACTGCGCCGCCGCCCCCACCTGCGCCCCCGGCCGCCTGCCCCAGCCTTGGGGTGGGTACTGACACCAACTATGTCAAGCGGGGCTCCTGGTCCACTTTGACTCTCAGCCATGCCCATGAGGTCTGCCAGAAGACCTCGGCCACCTTGGATAAGAGCCTGCTGAAGTCCAAGTCTTGCCACCAGGGCCTAGCCTACCATTACCTGCAGGTGAGTTTCTGTTGGGTCAGGATTTGGATGAGGAGGAGGCCCAGCTGTGCCACAGATTCACTTGGAAGTTGCTCACATATTGGGCTAAGCATTGGGAGGCTGTGGCATCTGCTAATCAGGGAATTCCTTCTGCTGGTCATGCTCTCAATAGATGGTAATGAGGACCATCTGAGCCCAGTGTGGAAAGGCCCTGGTTAAGAGTCCCGGCCACATCCACCACGTGGTCCACTCAGTCCAGCGGCTCTTCTTCACCAAAGCACACTTACCCCCGTCCTGTGGAAGACCGATCTTGGAAGCTGTGCTGCCCCGCTCCCCATCAGAGGACCAGCTGCATTACCTGCTCATTGTCAACCTTGCTCCTGTCTCCTCCAGCAGATAGGGACCACCTTTCATGTAGTGTCCCCAAGGAACCAGGACAGAGGGGGGAAGTGCTCACTGTATGTGAGAGGGAGGTGGGAGGGCTGGAGGGATAAGGAATGTTGATTAGCTCGGAGGACCCCCGCTCTCCACTAAGAGAATAGAGACATAAACACAACTCAGTGCTAGTTGTCAGGAGGCTGGGAGGAGAATGATGCATGAGCAGACAGTCACAGCAGTGTGATGGAGATCACATGGAGGACCGCCCCGAGTTTAGGGGGCTAGCTTGCTTCTTTCAGATGCTACGTCTATTGAGGCACTTCTGCATCAAGGGTATACAACACGGCTCAAGTGCTGAAGGCATTGCCTGGCTGCACACCTCTGCAGGGCTCTCAAGGGCAGAGCAAGCAGCTGTGGGTGGAAGTTACAGGAAGCAGATTTCAAGCCATGTACGAATGGAAAGGGCTGCTTCTGTGGGTAGTGAGCACCCTGTCCCCAGGAATACACAAGCAGGTTTGGCTATCTTTGGGAACCCGCATCAGGCTGCATTTTTAACCTGGTGAGCTTTAATCTGACAAAGTCCTGAGTCCTTGTTCTGTATAAGATCCCAGAGACACTGAGACTATGGTGGAAAGGGCAAGGGTTTTTAAATTTTTGTTTGGGTTTGGGGTCCCCACCCCCCATATGAGGAAACTAAAGCTGGGCAGTGTTTTATGTAGTATTTAGGATTTTGTGGCTCTCGGTCTCCTTCCTTGGCTGACACACATTAGGGAGAGTGCTCTGTGACCTGGCTCCCGCCCAGAATAGCAAAATGGTGTGGTTTGGTCTGATGGTGTAGAAATGCTTCAAAATACTATGAGCTCCTGGGGTTTATGCTGCCTACTGGGGTTATCAGAGTGGCCTGGGAGGAGGGCAGGAGCAGGTTTCAGTCAGGGAGGTCATGCTCCCAAGGGGACAAGTGAGGATAAGAGGGAGAGATAAGCCAATTTTAGGTAGGTAGAATTTGAGGGCCCTAATGGGCAGTCAGCTGGGGGCTGGTGGGAGGGTTAAGAGAGTTCTCCGAGGTAGGACCTCAGCTGGGAATCAGCTGCTGGCAATGAGCGTGCCAGGGAAGTGTACACCTGTGAGGGTGTTGTAACTACTGTGTGTGTGTGTGTGTGTGTGTGTGTGTGTGTGTACTGAAATGTGTACCCGGGTCCATGATGAATGTGTGTCCTAATTTGAGGTGGACACCATATGTTGAGGATGGACAGTGAGGTGAAGACATGTCAAGATGTGGTCACATGTGTGTATGAGGAGGATGTGGCTGCGATGTGCATGTAAGAAGGTGTGACTGAGGTGAGCACCTGCTGTGTACGTGTTGAGCGTTTTATAGAAGTGGCTGTGGTGTGTGCCCTAGGTGCGGTGCTGTGTGGTGTGCCTGCTGAGGAGTGTGTGGGAAGAGTGCTGACTCTGCATAAGATGCATATGCAAAAGGAGCTCTGGTGGCCTAGTGGCAAGACGCTGCGCTGCAATCCCAGAGGTACATGGTTCAAATCCACCAGATGCTCTGCTGGAGAAGGAGGGGGCAATCTCCTCCTGTACCAGTCAGATCTGATTTGACGGTACATGTAAAAATAATACAATAAAAATTAAAAAAAAAACCCAACAACAACAAAAAGATGCATATGCAGTGAGGTGTGTGCAGGGCCTGGCTGAAGCTCATTTCATGCTGAAAGGTGGTTATATCATCCCGGGGTGAACCTCCACTGTAATGTCCTGACAGTGTCCAGGTCTCACCTGGGGGATAAGGAATGTTGATTAGCTCAGAGGACCCCCACTCTCCACTAGGATCAGGCTAGGACCCAGGACTGAGAGCATGCAGGTGACAGATGAGAACACAGTAGGTACTCAGGGTCTAGTGGCCACTGGGGGGACTGTAGCGTTCCTGGCCTGGGGCGAATCGAGCTTGGAATCAGTGGAGAAATCAGAGGCCACTGGGGAGAAACAGGGACCTGCTTAAAGCCACTCAGGTTGTGGCACAGCCAGCTCCAGAATCGAGGTTTCTTCTTTCCCAGCCCAGGGCCTGCTTCGCTGCTGCGCGGTGGCCATGACATGAGGTTAGCACAGATGCTGAGCTCTTAAGAGGTGGGGAACGAGGGAGTTCACACCCTCAGCTCTCTTTCGAGGTGGGAAACCCAAAGAAGTGTGGCCTGTGGCCCGCGCCCCCACCTGCTGAGCCTGACCCTCCACCCCCAGGTGCCCGGCGGCGGCGGCGAGTGGAGCACGGCGCTGCTGTCCCCACGCGAGGCGGATGCCGCGGCCGAGGGGCCCATTCCGTGCCGGCGCATGCGCAGCGGCAGCTACATCAAGGCCATGGGCGACGAGGACAGTGACGAGTCCGGCGGCAGCCCCAAGCCCTCACCCAAGACGGCAGCGCGGCGTCAGAGTTACCTGAGGGCCACGCAGCAGTCGCTAGGAGAGCAGAGCAACCCCCGCAGGTGAGCGCGCGGCCCCGCCCCCTCAGACACCCTGAGCCACGCCCCCGAGCGGCCTCTGGCCCTCGGAGCCGAGCCCCGCCCCTTCAGATGAGTCCCGCCCATACGCGTGCAGTCTCCGCCCTCAAGCTCGGCTGCACCCCTTAACTTAGCCTCGCAGCTGTGCTTCTGGGAGCTTCGCTTGCTGTGAGCTGTCGCAGTGCCCTTGATTCCTGCCTTCCAGCCTTAGATCCAGGCCCCCTGCCTGAACCCGCCCTCAGGTTCACTTGGGTGCGTTCACATTCATGGCCCTTCACTTTGATGAGTTGACCCTGGAAAGCCCTGCCCTCTGGTGAACCGTCCCGTGATCCCACCCACAGTTAAGTCCTGGCCACTGGTGAGCCATGTTCTCTGCCCTCTTCCTGCCCACAACGAGAAGCTCTCAGGTAAACCCAGCCCACAGGAACCATACCTCAGGTGAGTTCCATCCCCACTGTGTGGCTGCACCTGGGGATCATCTTCAGGTTAGTGAGCCCATCACACTTACCAGCACTTCTTGGAGAAGGACTAGAGCTTCAGTTACTGATAAACATGTTGAGCTCCAAGATAGGGACCTGGGAGGGGGAGTTATTCCAGCGTCAAAGAATTCCTACTTTGGAGGTCGAGCCTGGTGCTTTAAGATTTGTAGGAGTTTGTGGGAATGAGCTTGTTCCTCTTCTTTAACTAGCACCCACAGGGTGGGTGCAGTGTACTTAGAACAAGAGCCCGGCTGGTTGGTGCAGAAGGCAGGGAAGCGGGAGATATTACTAGACATGGTGTCCGCCTCTCTGAACCTCAGTATTCCCACTTTAATTGAGAGGGCTAAGCTGGATGATTTCTAAGAGCCCTTCTAGTCCTGGATTATGGAATTCTGTGAGCGACCAGTGGGCATTAAGGTGGGAGATGGGCAAAGCACAGGTCTTAAATGACAAGAAATCAGTAAGAATAGTAGTAACAATACTAGTAATGGCTGTTAACTATTAGGAGTGGCATCCACTTCCTAGACAACATGCCTCTGGAAACTCTTATGAACTTTGAGAAACTACAATACTTATAGAAAGACTTTAGGTCTTTTGTTCATAGGGTCGCTATGAGTCATGCACGACTCGATAGCAATCAACAACAACAACAGTACATTGATCAGCATTACTGAATCTCACCACAGCCCCACTGAATGAGGGTGAGATGAGAAAATGGGCATAGCAGGAGGTGGTGGCTTACCAGGATCACCACACAAAGAAGCTGGGTTCCAATTCAGTCTCTTCATTTTTGGGCATTTGGCTGCTGGACTTTATCCCCAGAGCAGGGGTCAGGTAGGCCCTGGGTCAGGCAGTGTGAGAGAGATAGATGAGGAAGAGTCTGGGGAGATGTGAGCCTGAGGGACCTAGTGGAACTCATTTTTATTTTGTGGGAAAACTGAAACCCTTTGAGCAAGCCTAGCCTGAGGCCAAGGTATCTGGCCCCTGATGAGCAGGGAAGAAGGCCAACAAAAACTCACCAAGCCCATTCTTAACTCATAGTTACCCTGCTGGACACAATAGAACTGGCCTATAGGCTTTCCAACTCTGTAATCTTTACAGAAACAAACTACCGCACTGTTTCCCTTGAAGCATTTGGTGGATTTGAACTCGTAACCTTTTGGTTAGCGGTAGAGTACTCAATCACTGCAGCACCAGAGCTTCCTTAAGAGGTGAGGGACTTGAATAAATTGGGTTAGGCTGAGTTTGACTTTGGAATAGTTTTATGCTTGCTGGTGCTGCCATCTCGTGGTCATATCGGGGATAAAAAGTGGTTAGAGCTACTTAACCCTCCATGTTCCTGGTATAGCCAAGACCTCTTAAAGCCGCGTCCCCCTCCCCTTACTCTTAATGTCTAAGATGACTTTCCCTTTACTCTCTGATACTAGAGGACATTGGTCAGTCCTTACCCCTCTGGTCCTCAGTTTCCCAGGCTGAAATGAGCCCTGTTTCTTACCCGCCCCTCTCCAGGAGTCTAGACCGCCTGGATTCAGTGGACATGCTTCTGCCCTCCAAGTGTCCAAGCTGGGAGGAGGACTACAACCCCATCAGCGACAGCCTCAATGACTCCAGCTGCATCAGCCAGGTGAGAGTGCTGAGCAAGCTGGAAGTCAGTGAACCTGGGAGGCCTTGAACCTCTACCCGTCAGCTCACGGACTTCCACCCAGGAAGGGGACAGCTGTCCAGGCCCTGTTGTGTGATCCCCTGATGTCTGCATTGTGATTCATTTGATCTTTCTGCCTGTGTGTGTCACTGTGCTTCACCTACTGTCCCGGTGGGTAGGGAACAGCCTATTAGGGAACTGAGAAAGATGCCTGTCAGCCAAGTAGAAGATGGGGTCTCCAGGGCACTGTCACCTCCCCTTGGTATCTGAGCCATGGAAAGCAGAAACTAGAGGAAAACAAGGAACCCAAGTTCAAAGGGAGCCAAAGTCCCTGAGCTTTAGTGTCCTGATTGACCACAGGATGTGATCACTCCTAATTCAAAGGGTGGTTGGGGGGACTAAATGAGATAAGCAACTCAACCTGCCCAGCAAAAGATAGCTGTCAGTGTGTTGTTATTATCTTGCTGGGCAAATTGCTTGTCCACTGGGGCCCTCCATGCCTCTTCTATTCAGTGAAAAGCTGGGCTCCCAGAGTCCAGCTAGCCCTGACTCTTGACAGCTGTGCTGTGTTCTTCATTTATAAACTACAAGCCCCAGTTCTTTAAACCTTCACCAGTGATGCCTGGCAGGCCTTATTACCCATATCCCCATTTCACAGATAGAAACTGAGATTCATAGAGGCATATCCATGCTCCTCAGAGGAGGCAAAGCTGAGCAGGGATCTCGGGCTGCCGTACCCCTTCCTGGACCCCAGCCTCTTCCATATAATAGTGCTTGTAGGGTTTGCAAATGGAAGATGAGCTAAGACATCAGGGCTCCCTCACCATGTGGAGAAGGAGACAAGGCTTTGAGCTGACAGATGCCAGCCTCTGGCCACATAGTGAGGCTAGGGGCTTCCAGGTACAGCCAGACTCCACAGGAAAGCCTTGGGACCCCTTTCACCTCAATATTCCCTTGTTCCTGGCCTGGCCAAGCCCTTCTGATCCCCGTGTCCCCAGTATTGTCATTCCCAGACTTACAGGAGATGGACCTTAGATGTGAGGGAGGGTAGAGGGCTCTAGCCCATAGGACCCTCTGCTCCTGCCACCCTCATCCAGGCCCCAAGTCTCATCTAACTAGCTGCCAGGCCTCCATGCCTGCCACCTCCTGTCTGTTCTCAGTGGCCAGAGAGAGCTTACAAAGGGTGTACGTACATCAGACCAAACTATGCCCCTGCTTTAACCTACCCCTCTACAACCCCCTTCTTACCTCACGAGAAAACCAGAATTTTTGCTTAGACCTATGAGGCCCAGACTCTGCCTCTTTCTCAAACCTGATCTCTAAGCTCTGCTCTTCCTTCAGACCCTCTCACCTCCTCTCTGTCCCTTATACACCAGTGCACCACCTTGTCCCTGCCTCATGGTCATTGAATTTGCCGTTGCCTCTAGCAAGAACAAACACTCTTCATTCACATTTTAACAAGAACAAAATGTCACCTCCTTAGAGAGGCCTTCCCTGACTGCTACTCAAACTAGCCCTAGGCATTGTTTTCTCATCCTGCTTTCTTTTTCTGTCTGCACTTAACTACTATTGGAAGTTAGATCTTTTTTCGCCTTTTCTTGATGACTGTCTCCCTCTTAAGAGAATGGGGACCTTGCTGTCCTGTTCCCTATGATGTCCCCAGCATCTGACAGATGCCTGGCCTGTAGGTCTTGGTTGTATGTCCGGCATCCTTCTGTCTCCCGTCCTGTCAGCTTCTCTCATCCCACCTGTTTTCCTCTGTGCTCTATCTTCCTCTGAGTCTCTCTAGCCTAACTTCATCTCCAGGTTTCTCAGTGTCTATCTGTCTGTCTCTGAGGCATAGCCCATTTCCATCCCCTGCCTGATTCTGGCAATGGGAACTTTGCCATATAACACATGAGGCTGTGGAATGAGCCCGACTGGGTAGTCTGTCCCACCACCCTCTGCCCAGGCCCAGTTGTCTCCTGGACGAGGATCTTGTGGCTCCCCGCACTCCCATAGCTGTGTCTGTGACATCAAAGTTGGAGCTGTCCCAGCCCAGACTATGTCCCCAGAGCTCTGATTACTGCCAGAAACAGCCCCTATCCCACCAGGCACTAGAATTCTTAGACTCTGGCTGGGGGAGAGATGGCTCTAGGTTCCATCCCTAGTGAACAGATCTTCATGGGCTGTCCAGAGAAGTTAAATGTGACAGATTGGGCATTGATGGTCCCAGGGAGGGCAGGCCAGGAGAGGGACTTGTAAACAACAGTATTTAAATCCCCCAGCCATCCCCAAGTCCAGGAGGACTGAACCTCCTATTCCAGGAGGAAGTCAAGTAAGAAAGGCATCCTAGCATCTGGGCCTCACCCAGTCTGGGGAGGAGGTTAGACAAGCCGGTCTCAAGTGCTCACCCACTCTAGTCCCCTAACCTGGTCTCTCTGTAACCTTCCCCCTTCTCTTTCCTGCAGATATTTGGACAGGCCTCCCTGATCCCCCAGTTGTTTGGCCATGATCAGCAGGTCAGTATGTTTGCTGTTCTCTCACTCCCCAACTCTCCAGTCTAAAGCCAGGTCCTTAGGCCAGAAAGGGGCCCCCACCAGGAAAGCCACCACCAGCGAAGGTGACATTGAGGTCCACAGCAGTCCCTTAATCCTCTCCTACCTTCCCTTACTACTTACTTCTCTATACCTCCGTTTCCTCTTAAAAATGGCAAAGATTGAGGTAGGTTTTGTGAATGGGGCAAAAAATAACTTCATATTATTAGATGTTCCCTACATCTCCTAGAGCAGGCCCGGGGAGGTGTTTCTTTGGATGGACTGGCCTTTAGCCCCCAGGCCCTAAGTTCCCTGATTTTCCCCATCTAGAGCCCCAGCAAGGCCTCTGAAGATGGGATATTGTCATAAATGCAGACAGTGGTTTTTACACAGTAGGTGGAGTCAGTGCCACTCCTGGTCATGTCTGGCTGTCCAAAAGATGTCCCTTCAGAGGCACATCCACCTTGGCCCTGGGAGTGATAACCTGCCTTCCCAGGCTCCAGTCCTAAGAGCAGAAAGTGGGGCAGGAAAGGTGCATGAGATCAACTCCTCAAAGCCTGGAGTGAGCGAAGGACTTATCCAAGGCCATATGTGGACCCAACCACTGGTACTTTCTATCCTTCTCTCCCCAGCGCCATAGTTTCCCTTAAACACATTAATCCAGAAGATCTTTGGGGAGCCCACAATGAGCCAGCCGGGCACCTCTGAGCTTACTCTAAAGGCAGAATAATACCCACTTCAATAGGCTGATGCAAAAGATGCCAGGTGTCAGTATACACAGCATGAGGGTGGTGTGTGTGGGGGGGCATCTGTTCTGACCCACATACTGGGTCACTGGCTAGCTCCCCGAGCCTGGAAACATCTGGACCCACATTTACAAATCCTCACTCTCCCTCCCAGGGATTTCCTCTTCCAGACACAGCTCTAAGCACATGATACGCATTATTTTTTCTTGACAACAGCTCTATGAAATTAAGATTACAGTCAGCCTCGTTTTATAGGTTTGGACACAGAAAGGCTAAGTGACTTGCACAGATTCATACAATGAGGGATACATGGACCCAAGATCCAGCCCTGGCTGGGTGGGTCCGGGGCTGTGCTATTCTTGAAATCGTGCAAGGCCTCTCTGCCCTTGACAGTCCCAGGAGCCTCCCCTGTATGTGACATACAGTGAGAGGGGGAAATGCTTCTCATTGGAATGCCATCCCCCCCATATTTTGTCTATGCCACATGACCTGTATTTTAATGGATCAGTGATGTCCCATAGACTCTTCTGCGATGATGAAAATGTCCTATAATCAATCCATTGTGTGACTGTTGAGCAAGTGAAATGTAGTTAATGTAGCTATACCAAACTCATTGCCATCAAGTCAGTCCTAACTCAGCGACCCAATAGAACAGACTAGAACAGCCCCCCGAGAGTTTCCAGGGCTATAAACATTAATGGAAGCACCCTGTGCCACCAGCCTTCCTCATGTGATGATAGTGGCTGTGAGCCTTGAGTGGCTCTTTAGGTTTGAATGAAAGTAAAATGTTAACTTCTGTTCTGTATTTGGTTTATTTATTTACTTATTTTTATTTAATTTTTTTTTTATGTGTGTACCGTCAAATTGGATCTGACTGGTGCAGGAGGCGATTGTTCCTCCTTCTTCAGCAGGGCATCTGGTGGATTTGAACCGTCTGTATTTGGTTTAAATCTAAATAAGCACATTGGGCTAGTGGCCATTCTTTTGAGCACCACAGATTTAGACATTTTCTTTTTTTTTCAATATTTATCTTTTATATTTATTTTTATTATTTGTTTTGAAAGAAATTATTTTTAATTTTTTTATTTTATTATTTTTGTGTGCGTGTACCGTCAAATCAGATCTGACTGGTACAGGAGGAGATTGCCCCTCCTTCCCCGGCAGAGCATCTGGTGGATTCGAACCGTGCACCTCTGGGATTGTAGTTGCAGCTTCTTGCCACTAGGCCACCAGAGCTCCCAGATTTAGACATTTTCAAGCATCTCTTCCAAACTGGGAGACATCTCATCTTGTGCTATCTCAGACAAGTACACACACAGACATTCAGTCTGCACTGATGAATGAAAAATTGACCCAGAGAGGACACTGATGACCTGTGGTCACACAGCCAAGTCAGAGCTGGTCTCCAGGCCTGGCTTCATCTTTTGTCCCATGGAATCCTCTGTCTAGCCCAGGACTTTTCCTGGGGCCTTCCCTAGTGCCCATATTTGGCTATTCCCTGTGGTCCTCAGTTACTGATTGGGCCTGAGGCATCGATCACATAGAATCTTTCAGAGCTCTTAAAAAGTGTGTATTGTTAGAGGGTAAAAGAGAGAAGCAAAGTCGCAGATTTGTAGTATCCTCACTTAGGAACCATCTAGATGAGATTGAATTAGACAGATGCAAGACAGCAAATAGCTTGCGTGGCCCCATTCTAAGAACTGTCTGTGACAGACATCACTAATCAATCCTCACTCCGCTCCCCTCCTTCCAGGTCGTCTCTTCTCTCACTGGGTTATTGTATTAACCTCATCACTAATGTCTGCCTCCATTCCAGATCCCTGTTTTGTATCTGTCCTGCACATCAGGGTTAGATTAATCATCCTTAAAGATACCTTTGGGATGTTTGTTCTCCTACTTCCTCAATTCATGCTTCTGGCAAGAGTCTCCCCCTCACTGATGTCCCATTTCTTTGCCAATAAAATAACGGGATTAGACCATAGGATAGTCGATAGCCAACCCGTTTGCTCTTAACCACCACCACCCCACATTCCACTATCACTAATTGATTACATACTTCATTCCATCTGAACTCAAATATGTCCTCAGAATCTACTGTCAGTTAACATACAAGAGATAATAATCCTGTTAACATCCTACAATATTCCAGCTTCCTTCTCCATTTTGAAGTGGGAAAATTGAGGCCCAGAGAGGCAGGATGGCTTTTTTAAGAGCCCACTACAAAGACTATGTATTTCTTCAAGGGCTCTTATCTGCACATCCCACACACTGAGCAAGATGGGGGTTTGCAAAGTGAGACCTCGCAGCCTCGAGCCTTGCGGCTGAGCTGACCACCAGGCGTCCCTACCCCCAGGATGGGCAGAGCTGGCTCCTGACGCCTGCCTTTGCCGGGACAGGTGCGGGAAGCAGATCTGAGTGACCAGTACGAGGCAGCCTGTGAGTCAGCCTGCAGCGAAGCCGAGTCTACAGCAGCAGAGACGCTCGACTTGCAGCTGCCTGGTTACTTCCGCTCCCGAAGCCACAGCTACCTGCGGGCCATCCAGGCAGGCTGCTCGCAGGAGGAGGACAGCGTCTCCCTGCAGTCCCTCTCCCCGCCGCCCAGCACCGGCAGCCTCAGCAACAGCCGCACGCTTCCAAGTGAGTCCACTGTGGAGGGGGAAAAGGGCTTCTTCCAGAAGATCCAAGGGGCTGTGTGTTGGGCCAGCCCATGGGGAACCCTGAGGAGGAATCATGGTGGGCTACTCAAGACTGGAGGGAGGGCTGGAGGCCCCAGGACTCAACCTACTGGCCAACTGGAGCCCAGACTAGCATCACAGGAATAGATGCCACTTGTGGCATCTGTTAAGAGATGGTTGGAGCAATGGGACACATAGTTGTTAATCGAGCTCTGGGGCTTCAAGTAGCCACTGGCTGGTTGTCAGGGCAAACTGAAGCCCTCCCTACCACCTGGTGGGTAGTTCAGGCAGGCAAGTCTGTAGGGAGAGGCTGTATCTCCCCCTCCTGCAAGGACAAGACAGCATCTCCTTGAGCCTTCTCCAAGGGGTGAGCTCACAGTTTTCTCTCACATCTACAGTGGGAAATAACTTACCTTTCCTGACTATTGTTCTAAATCCTCTGACGATAACTCATGACAGACCCCAGAAAAATGAACTCCAAGTCACTGAGTGAAATAATGGAAAAATCAAGGCTAAGGAAAAGCATTACCCTTTCTGTTTCGGAGCGAGGGCATGGCGCTTACTCTCACTGGCTAATCCTCCACCTAAGCTGTTTTTCCATCTGTATTACTGAGAGTATAAACCAGAGAGGTCTTAGGAAGAGCTGTTCTCACTGGAGTCTTGCACATGGTAAGAGCCAAACAAGGGGTAGTTGTTATAACCAGTTCTCAGACTTGACCCTGAGTATCATCCTACAAAGTCATAAAAGCAATTGTGGTCACATTGTTACAGGAAGAGAGAAAACAGTTTCAAGAGTGGAACTGGTGTTTGATGCAAATAAATGAACTTGAACCCATAGATAGTCTATGCATAGCTAAGCAGCTTATTGCCTGAAAGTACTGCTGTTTACAGGGGCAGAGCAAGAAAAATTGTTTGTTTGTTTTGCTTTTACGTTACAGATCATAGGGGTGCTGTGTATTGATTCCACAGCACCTAACAGCAACATTTCCTCTTAAACACACTCTGGTCTTCCTGCCTTAGGCTTAAGTATGACTACATTGTACACATTAGGGTACCTTAAGACTTGAATTTCCAGAATGCCGTTTTGCCAGGTAAGACCTACTAGACGGCACCCTCTTCTTTTTAGAGCTTTTATGGGAACAACAACTGCACTGCTGGCATATACCCTGTCATATACTCATGTACCTTCTCATATTGTTCAGTTGAGTGCCCTCTAGTCGATCCTAATTCATAGCAACCTTACAGGACAGAATAGAGATGCCCTGAGGGATCTTTTGGACTCTAATCTTTATGGGAGAAGATATCTGGGTCTTTTCTCTGGTGGAGTGACTGATGGGATCAAACCACTGAACTTTCACTTAGCAGACCAAGTGCTTATCGTGGCACCCCCAGCACTCCTTGTGCCCACTCGCACCCAGGCCACGGCTGCTGAGTTAATTCCCCCTCAGGGTGACCCTCTGTCAGGTGTCAGAGGCTGGAAATCTTTATGTGAGAAGACTAGCCATCTTTCTCCCATTTGCCTACTTAACAAATACAAATTTTTGTACCATTAGACACACATTCGGGCACACACACAGGTATTCTTGTGTTCTGTATACACCCAGTGTCTACTTACACCTGCACCCATTCTCACGTATATGTGTTTCTCCTTCAGATGCTCATGCCATCCATCGCATCTTAGAAATCTTAGATTAGCACTTCCCAAAAAACTCTCCCGTGGACCCCCAGGAAGCCTTCCCCTTGTTAACATTGGTCAGCCCTCCCTTAAGGTGTCCGCAGGGACTATGACTCCTTTGTCCCCATCTTCTCAAACCTCTGATGCTCTCCTGCTTATCGGGTAAACCCACCTACCTCGCTGGGGACAATCGTGCCACCAGATCTTCATTTCTGAGCCCAGAGCTGCAGCTGGTCCGCATGGTACGTTTGTGCTGAGTTGGGAAAGGGCGCTCCTCTTGAAGACACTTAACTGCCATCTGTTAAAAATTGTCATGATGCACAGCTTTTATTAGAACAGGGCCCCTTACTGCCATCTGCCAGAAATTTGTTGTAATAATTATATAATTCATTTCTGTCTGTGTGGTGAGCAGCACAACATGGCATAACCATGGCCCCCTTGATCAGTGTAAAACATTGACATGGGGGTCCTGCTTGTGGTCACACCCTCCCTCAGCTCAGGTCCTCCTGCAGGGTTACCCCTGCTCAGAAGGCTGCCCTACCTTCTCTGAGTCTGAACCCCTAGTCTGTTCAGAGCCCCCAAGGATCTAAGAAGCCTGAAAGCTCTTTGTCACGCCCACATGGGCACATATGCACACATGCCATATGCAGGTGGGTGGGTAGACCAGGGTGAGGCGTTACGGAGGCATTGAGAGCCTGGCAGGGGCTGGGCCATTTGGGGTGGCCGTGGGCAGGACATGGAACTGCCCATCTGCCCACGCAGACCCGGCCAGCGTTCCTGCTGCCAGCGCTGCTGCTGCTGCTGCTGCTGCCGCTGCCACCCCCACCCCCTCCCTCCCTCCTCTTTTTCTGACCCAGATTCCACATTCCAAAAATAGCTCTGGCAGGTGACTGGCAGGCAGGGGGCAGCTCCCTCGGGAAGAGGGAGAAAAGAGCTGTTTGGCTGCATATACACACCCCTCCTCAGCAAAGGGCCTACCCAAGAAGGCCCCCTTCCCCAGGAAGGGGCTCAGGGACACCCTTTGCCTCTCTCTGAGCCACCAAGAAGAGAGGAAGAGAAAAAAAAAAAGGAAAACCTCTCTCCCACTTCCTCCTTTCTCTGCCATCTACCCTGCTGTTCTTCAGCCGCTCTTTTCCTTTATCATCCACCTTTCCCTTCCTCCTCTC